AAATTATAAGTAAATTAGTAGGTGAATGAGTGAGTAAATGAGAGAATGGGTGAGTAATGAGGAAATGCAGGAATGTCGACAATTTGGTCATGTCATGATTTTCCTGATTTTGAAGTAAAACTGCCATTTAAATAACACCCTGCTGCATCCATTTGTAGAACTGGAAGCGAGCAGTGGACACAGCTGTTTGCTAAGATGGCCATGTTTTTTGCTAATTATTATTGTATTGTGCATGCGTGTGTGTGTACCTAAAGACTTTTCTCTATTTCAAGCAATTATTTCTGAGTATGAGGCGCCTAAACAGACATATATACTGGAAAAGCTTACACCCTGAGGGTATCCCCAGAAAATAGACTTTAAAATAAATTCATCTGTTTAAAAAATGTAAAGTTCCCATTTTAACCTTTATCAAAAAGAATGGATTCAACAGCAGTTTATTACAAAGACAGGATGTGTCTGTATGTGTGGTGAAAAGGGCAAGTCACTTGAAATTATTTGTTTCTTTGTTCAGGGGTCTATACAAATTAAAGCATTGTTTTTTCTCAGAACAATATCTTCCTTAAGATATTTATGGATTCCTTCATTTTTAAAATAAATTAATATTTAAAAATAATAAAAAAAAAAACTTATTGCTGAACTGGCAACCCATTGGTTGACAAGGGCTTGACAAGATCTCACATCCTCAATGACTACTCCATCCATCCATTTTCCAAAACCACTTGTTCTATTCAGAGGGATATGAAGCCCATGGGCACAAGGCAGGGAACAACCCAAGATGGGGCACCAACCAAGCCCAGGCCAGACTCACACAGGCACAGTATGCATTGTCAGCATTGTTTTGGACCATGGGAGGAAACTGGAGTAAACCCCACAATGCCATGGGGAGAACATGCAAACTTCACAAGCATGGAACCCTGGGGGATACTTGAACCCAGGTCCCAGAGGTGGGGTTAGATTTTCCTGCGTGTGGGATGAAAGCATATTTTCTGTTACTGTCTGATCATATGGTGGCATTCTGTGGCTGTCATTTTATGCCACACGTAATATGCTGCCACACAGAAGGCCTATAGGGGGCGCATGTACAGTTGAAATACCATTCATGTTCTCCTGTTTTGATATTTTCTTTATGGTTATTGTGAACTACAATCTTGCAGCCTCTGGATGAGCCGTCCCAAAGCCCCAACTCCAGTGGGATAAGGGCACTATGCCAGTTATGCCCAGGGGGATAACGGATAATTTGACTTCTTTTCATCCTCCTATTTCTTCTGTTGCTGCAGATGGGTGCGATCACAAAGATCTGCAAACGACCCTTAATCCTCATCACAGGGAAATGCGCACATCTGGCCTGTGTGTGTCATGGAAAAAGCTGGGGAGCACCCCCCCACTCTGCAGCACCCGCATGCGGCATGAGTCCCCTCCCCCCAACTTGGAAAGATTATCCGAAGATGTTTGTCCTGAAGTGAACCCCTGCTACACGTCTTTCAGCCACAAACAAAAGCTACCAGCTGGCTGCCCCCACATCTCTGGGCTGACATTTGGAGATCATGGCATTCCGAGAGAGGGATGATAGCTTAATTATGGTGGCGTTCTGGGCTGGAGTCCCCTTTGATTGACCCCTGTTATGGAATCCCATATTTTGGGGCGGGGTTGGGTGGTGTAATACGTTGAATAACAGGCCCCAAGGCCTGGGAATGCTGATGTTCAGTATTACAGGCAGTCCCCAGGTTACAAATGAGATCCATTCCCTAAGTATGTCTTTAAGTCAAATATGTAGATAAGTTGGAACAATAAAAATACATAACTACACAATATTATTATTATTATTCATAATAATTATTATTATCTAGTAATAATAAAACTAATTACATATGGTACTGTACTGTATGTCGAGCCAATGAACTGCTAAATAATTAACTGCATTCATTATTACGTTCAGTGTGTGCATTCATTATTACAGACAACTGCATTTAACCTGAATTTTTAATATAATAGGCTTTATGGCAGTCTGTTTGTAAGTATGCATTGTCCATATATTGGACATTGTTAACCTGGGGACTGCCTATAAATACAGTTTCCTTCACATACACTATATTGCCAAAAGTATTGGGACACACATCCTTACACACACATGAACTTTAATGACATCCCATTCTTAATACATAGGCTTTAATATGGAGTTGGCCCACCCTTTGCAGCTATAACAGCTTCGGCTCTTCTGGGAAGTCTGTCCACAAGGTTTAGGAGTGTGTTTATGGGAATTTTTGACCATTCTCCCAGGAAAGCATTTGTGAGGTCAGGCACTGATGTTGGATGAGAAGGCCTGGCTCGCTGTCTCTGCTCTAATTCATCCCAAAGGTGTTTTATTGGGTTGAACCGTTGAGGTCGGGGTCCTGTGCAGGACAGTCAAGTTGCTTCACACGGTCACACCAGACTTGCTCATCCATGTCCTTATGAACCTTGCTTTGTGCATTGGTGCGCAGTCATGTTGGAACGGGAAAGGGCCATCCCCAAACTGTTCCCACTAAGTTGGGAGCATAAAATTGTACAAAATGGCTTTGAATGCTGCAGCATTAAGTATTCCTTTCACTGGAACTAAGGGGCCAAGCCCAACCCCTGAAAAAAACCCCTAGACAATAATCCCTCCTCCAACAAACTTTACGCTTCGTACAATGCAGTCAGGCAAGTTCCGTTCTTCTGGCAACCACCAAACCCTGACTCGTCCATCGGATTGCTAGACAGAGAACCATGATTCATCACTCCAGAAAACACATCTCCACTGCTCTAGAGTCCAGTGGCGGCGTGTTTTACACCACTGCATCCGACGCTTTGTATTGCACTTGGTGATATAAGGCTTTGATGCAGCTGCTCGGCCATGGGAACCCATTCCATGAAGTTCTCTATACACTGTTCTTGAGCTAATTTGAAGACCACACAAAGTTTGGAGGTCTGTAATATTGGAATATTTAGTAGCGAGGAAATTTCACAAATGGACTTATTGCACAGGTGCATCATATCACGGTATCACGCTTGAATTCACTGAGCTCCTGAGAGCAACCCATTCTTTCACAAATGTTTTTAGAAGCAGTCTGCATGCCTAGGTGCTTGATTTTATATACCTGTGGCCATGGAAGTGACTGGAACAAGTGAATTCAATGATTTGGAGGGGTGTCCCAATACTTTTGGCAATATAGGGCATTTTTCCACCGCACCAGGTACCGTACTTTCGGTACTTCCATAAGGTGCCGAAAGTTTGGTACTTCTTTCATGTCGGTTTTCCACTGGCATAAAAAATGGTACCGGCGCCAAATGACATCATCAGTGACCGCCCCTGACTGACAGCCCAAAATTTAAACTAACAATTGAGGCTGGAAAATGCGGTTTATTGTTATGTCAGCTTCTATCACAGTATAAGATTCAGTAAAATCTAAATCATGCTGCCATCAATTACGTTTACGTAGGTACACTTACTTTGGCTAAGCCGATCAAAGCAGTAAGAATTAGCTTACTGCTAATTAAGTCTTTTGAAAGCAAACAAATTATTTATATGTTTTTTGATTTTCAAGCGGCATTGTTCGGTGTTTCGCATGTGCCCCATTTCTTCCAAGCGGCTTGGTATTACGGTGTT